GAACGTTTGTCTGATTATACGGCGTGTGGGTAAACAGAACCATTTGCGTCTTCATGGACAAAGTAGCTCGGGGATTTCCTTTTCATTTATTTCGCTCAACACACAAAGAAATTTTTCTCTGATATTTCTATTGAATTTCAATTCACTATTCGACAGGGCTGCAATTAGTTAGATCTACTTGTATTAGTAAGATGTGATTTTTGAACCGGTCGGTTCGTAGCTGAGGCGCTTTTCTCCACCTTGTTTAGGCAATAGAGTTGGCTAAAACTATTAGTCTGGGGCTCTTTGATATCTCCTGGTCATCAGGACCATTTATCGAAATAACATTCATTTTAGTACTTAATACTTGCCACAAATTATCGTACAAACTCTGTAAATACTCTCAATTCATATCAATCGGGTTTTTCTACTTTAACAATAATGTGTACGCAGTACCAGTGTATATCAAATTTTTCCACAGCATTTTTTTAAAACTGTCCACAATTCCTTTTCTTTTTTTTCGCTACATCCGTCAATTCTAAGAAAAGTTCTCTTCTTCTTTTTACCTCTCCTATGCGCGCATACTTGTATAACGCAGCACCCGAAGTTTGTTTGGATAAAGGGTATTTCATTGTCGGGTTTGCTCGGTGTAGCATTCTATGTTGTTCCTACTTCAATTAAGTCTTGCCGCACTCAATTCGGTCGATTTGGTGGTATGAGATATTATTTCCTGTAATTCTACGCGGCACCCTCGGTTGATGTTGGACCGGGGAAAGTCTTTTGCAGCAATTTGTTCATGCAATTTTGTTCGATTTGGTGAAAGTTTTCTTTTGAAATAATCGCAACGAGCCCAATAATTTCTTTATGGCTTAATATTTGACCAGAGCTTGCGAGCAGCCCGATTCCATCGCCCAATTACTAGTTTCCCAATTACAACTCTCGAGGCAATTTCGAACGTTACATTGCGCATACGACCCGTTGAGTGTCTCGGCTCTTTTTCTGTGATCGCACGTGGCTTATTCAAGGGGCCTCATTTTTGCTTTCAACTGCATTGGCGGCCCCCGGTTGGCCCAAAAACTCGGAGTTCAAGTCTTACAAAATGTGCTAGCATGAGTTTTTGTGGACTTATGAGTCGTTTTCAAGCAACAGTACACAACAAATAAATAACAAGCTGCATGGAGGGGTAGATACAGGTGAAGGCAAAGATGCAACTAATTTTTGTGCGGCATGCAAACGAGTGCCACACCCCCTCGCTCAGACTCTGGCCCTCCTGCTGCCATGGGACTGGGGCTGCCAATTTAGCTATCATATTGCTAAGCGCGTATTTGCAACTCCCCATCTCCTCTTGTCTTTCCTATGCGGTGCACATTGCAGTGTAATTTTGCTTTCAACACCTTTTTGTGCTGTGCACAGCATGCAACACGCGGGCCGCGTCTGATTGTGTGGCAGCGCAAATCGCAGTGCGCAGGTAGGCAAATGATTGCTAACAAAACACAGACAACAAACGAATAGCGAGCTGGCCAGCTATGGAGCTATGGAGGTGAGGAGCGGAGGAGGAGCGGAGCGCATGGATAGTCCAGTGGCCGTTGGCTTCATTTTGTGCATTGGGCAACAGGCAACAGGCAATAGACAACGAACAACAGACAACAGACAACAGCAGCAAGGCAACATGTGCCCAAGTGAAAATCATGCCGCATTTCCCAGGCTTGCTGGCAAAATCGGCGCGAATATATCGCATTTCAATCACGCGCCAAAGTCGCAGTCAGAGTCAGAGTACGAGTACGAGACCGAGTCCGAGTCCGAGTAGAGACCTGGCCTAGTGCAATTTACGTGCTGCCACGCAGTGCATGCGGCTCAAGCCTGAGCATTTTCCAACAATTTTCCAGCAACAACAACTTGCAGTTTATTAAAGTTGCGGCTCAAAAACGCAAACATTGCTAACGCTGCGCAATGTTGCGGAAAGCCAGGCCCAGCTCGTTGCTATTGTTGTTGCTGTTGCCGCTGTTGTTGTTGTTGTTGTTGCTGCTATTGTGAACCTAACGGTACCGATTGTGCGCACAAAATAGCCACATCGTGATATCTGCGCCCCTCGCACGGCACGCGCGCCTGTCCCGCTAAAATTATTGCCGGCCGGCGCAACAAACCGCTGCATATACTGAAAAAAAAGCAAGTGTGCGATCTTTTGTTTCCTGACCTAACATCAGAGTGATCGATTTTTGGAGGCCCTAGTTTTGTGAAAGCCCTTGAATCACACTTGAAAGCACCCTACTTCTACTAAGCTATTTGTTTAGACGATCAGATGTTCCTTGAATGGGAAAATGGTCGAATCACGAAATATAAATAATGGACTCGTAAAGTATGTGCGTGATTTGAAACATTTTTTATGGGAAAATATTACATTTACCACTTTTTAGGATCTGAATGGCAACAATTAGCTATGGATATACTATAGGTCGCCAGTATGGTATGCCCGACTTTGCTTCTTGATTCCCTTTTTTTTCAGTGTGTACCAGTAGGCTCTTCTCACTACTTGTATGTAGAGCCCGCAACAAATGCCGAGATTTCAAATGTCGATTTATGCGCAAATTTACTTTTATGCGACTACCAGAGGCGGGCTGCTCTGTAAGCTGCGCCAGCAACTGGAACGGCAAAAATTTATCGTCAAGTTTAGTAAATTTAATTGGGCCGCAACGTAGAGCGTCATTAACCCGAAGAAGCGGCTGAAGGTGCCAAGTGCTCAACGCCATAGTCGCAGCAATGTTTTGAGCTTCAGTCCGGCCGGTCCCCATGACCAAGACCAAGCCCAGTTCAGCCAACATTCGGAAAAGCGCGTGCGCCGCCGCTTCCTTTGTAGCTGGCTGCTTTACGAGGCAGCGGCGCATTAGACAAAGGCCAAAGGAAAGCCAAAACCTAGTAGCTGTGCAATAAAATTTTATGGCAGCTGCTCAGAGCTGCGGCAAAAACTGACTGCTGCCTAAGCTATTGGTTGTTTGTGCTCTGTTCCGTTGCCGGCGGCACTGCAGGCTTTTGGATCCGTGTACTGCCTGGGCCGGAGAGTGGCAAAAGCGGGCTGCACTGTGTGCCAACAAGGCTCTGTCTGTTGTTCAGATCTAGTTGCCACAAGCTCACAGCAATAGCCGACATATACCAGAGATAGACACGATACAATGCGCCAGTTGGGTTTGAGCAAAGTTCAACTCAATGTCAATGCCCAATGTAAAGCGTATAACTGAAAACTGCTTATGAGCTCCATAAAATACTCTGTTCTACGCTCAACCCACAAGGTAAAACATTTCCTGAAGCTACTGAACAAGCTTCATTCTTCTGAAATTAATCCGAAATTACTTGAGCCCCTGCCTGCCAGAGTTTGCGGGAATATTTTTGCTCTCATTTCCAGCTACAGTTACTTGTAATACACATTTTTTTTAAATATATGCATTCATTAGGAGTATTACAATATCCACGAAAATATTATTATAAACGCAAGCTGTACATTTGTTAGCAATATATATATTCTGCATAATCCTAATACCATTCATATATTTATTTCTCCTCGGTGCATTTACATACATACTTCGCGATTTTAGAGCCGCACCTTATTTTGCATTCTAGAATTGTGCCGTTTTTCGTAAATGGCTTTTAAATGCAAAGAATTATTCGTTTAAAAGGCGCATCGCGCGCTTCCCCTCGTGGCAATAACTTTTCCACAGATCATTGACAGCATTATGCAAAATTTAGTCTCGGCACGCGCTGGTCAATGGAAGTCTCCTTCCCATTTCTGTATAACCGAAGCCCCACACCAGGCTCGGAACAGGGACGAACGATGGCGACGTCTCAATTGTTAGCACTTGCCCCATTATGTATATGAGGCGTCGCTGTGTGCTGATGTTGCTGTTGCCGTTGGTGCTGCTGCTCGATATTGTTCCCCACTCGAGCTTATTACTTGTATTTCAAATCAGTTTTTCTTTTCTTCTTTGCGCTCGAAATGTTTTGAATTTATGACACGATGCGCAACTCCGGATCGTCGCCAGCTATTACCAAGTATGGGGCTCCACTGCATCCAATTGCATTGCTCTGGACTCCCAGAACCCACTTGGCCTGCCACTTGCTGCATTCTTAAGCGCGCTGCCTTGTTTGCTTCGCCTTTGTGGCAGTTGCCGCCGCCTTTGTCAAATTTATTTGAGCGTAAAAATACTTCGTTCATAAAGCAAAAGCTGCGGAGGATATCAGATTTGGCGCACTAGTTCTTATTGTTGTTGTTGGTGGCGGAATTGTTGGCTCTCCAAGGTTGCTTCAAGGTTGACTTAAAGTTGACGTCAGCGCCGCGGCGAGACGACATTTTGCAAATTTACTTTTGGCATGACTCAGAAAAACATTAATGTAAATACTTCGATTATTTATAAGTACGAGTATGTTTGTAGTTGGGCCGAGCCGGCCGGCCCGGGCCGCAGGCAGCGGAAAATGTTGGACGAGGTCAGTGAAATTTACAGATGACGGCATATAAAAACGTTCACATTCAAATATTACACAAGTGCATGTTCACGATTCGCACGTTGTACATTGATTTTGATAATAATGAAAAAATTAACAATGCGACCAAAAAATGCGAGGTCCCAGCGACCAATTAATGACGAATGTGGGACGAGGGACGGGGGACGAGGGACGCACCGAACCAAGCGAAGGCACTGCAAGCCCAGCCACAAATTAGCTAAATGGAAAAATTGTTGAGCGCTGTTTTGCATTGAAATGCCACTGCCGCGGTCTCCGTCGCCGTCAACCGGGCGATTATCGCTAGGCATTGGCGCATTGTTGTGCAAATTACAACAAAAACTGCAACTGCATGTCGGCAACTTTGACTTTGATGTGAGCGGCCAGAGCTGTAGCTAAAAGCGGGGCACGGTACGTGTGTGCTTGTGTGTGTGTGCGTGTGGATGTGGGGGGCGTGCAATTAACCCAACCTCAGAACTGGGTCAATGCTGATGACCAGGCTAATTTTATTTGTGTCCCTCCTCTCTTTCCAGCTCACGCAAACGTCCCCAGACCGATGTTCACGACGACGGCAGCGACTCACTTGAAGAAATGAACGCTTGTAGTGCCGCATTAATTTTAGTGAATCTAAGCGGTAAGTAAAATCGTTCCATTATCTATAAATATGAAACACATTTAAAATAAAAGTAGAATAGCATACGCATATATGGGGATGGCACTCAAAGGATTCTATATAAATGATTCGGGATATACATATACGAGTATAGTAACGATTCGTGTGCAGAGTAAAAAACTCCATACTGGCTTTAACGAATACCCATATTCAATTCATTTGAGATCGCTCTCATTTGTAATAAAAATAATTAGTACAGCTTTACGAATTTTAAACAACTAAGGATGTAAGGATAAACAAATTAATAGTGGAAGTAGTAGTAGAACAGATTAGTTTTTTTGTGATAAAAATGTCTTATGGTATTATACCTTTTTTTATTTATTCCAAAATATGTTTTATTTTTAAATCATAGCTTATCAATAAATTCTTTAGAATTTATGGGCTATGAATTGATGCACTGCAATCTTCCCATTAACACATTCGTGTTGATCGTGAAAGACATTTCCAATTACTAAAACTGATTGCCAAATTGTAAAAATGTTTCTTGCAGCGCCCGACAAATGTCTCGGCTCCAGTCCCGGCAGCAGCTCGTCGGCCTCGTGGAGCTCCGGCTCTGCCTCCCCGCCGCTCAGCGATGATGGACATGCACTTCACAACCATAGCATTTTATCACCGCACGATGCCGCCTCGGCCAATGCGCGCATACGCACAACATCGGTGTCCACCTCGGACGAGGGCATTGTGATGGACTATAAAGACGATCGCTGCAATAAGAAGGTAAGTCCCACCTCGATATTTAGCGCCGATACGAGCCAGAGCATATTATGCCAAGGAATGTGCAGAGCAATTGGAGCGTGTCAAACAATTTGTTGCATTTTAATTGCAACATTGTGGATGCATAGCATACACTTACATACATAAGTGAAGGCCCAGATGCCCACAATTTAATTGCTATAATTAAATGTCGCGCTGAACTGGCAGCTTTCAGTTTTTCTTTCTTTTATGTTGTAGATGAGAGACGACCACGAGGCGTATGCTTCATGCCTATGCTCATTACTCATACGCAGTGCGGCGTGAGGGCGAATTAATCTGACTTTGAGCAAGCGAACAAAATCAAATGAATGTCGAAAACGCTTGTTACTCAGTTGCCCTTCGGCTACGAACGCATCAATCACACAAAGGGCAGCGTCAGCAGCTCGTTAGCAGAACACACACATGCACACACACACACACACACTCAGGCACCCTCATATACACATACATATATAGTACGTAGTGTGTGTACTTTTCTTTCCCTCATTGTTTTTGTAGAATTTGAAAAATCAATAGTCAAAACGCCTGCCGCCCATTCCCTCCGCATCCGACTCTTCCGCTTTAATTAATTATGTTGAACTTTAAACGCATTTGTTGTGCTCGTTGCTTATATTATAATTGTTGTGTGTTGTGTGTGGTGTTTGTCGTAGTGCGCCAAAACGCTTACGCAACAGCAGTTCTTGCCATTGAAACATCGTAACAGCCCGTTTATGTGCCCGGCCGGCTCCAGCTGGCTTGTGAAGCTAGTTAGCCCGTACATATGTACACATGTCTGTATGATTAACTGGTTGGCGCTTTTAAGGGCTCTCGACAGCGAACAATTTCGGCGTATGGACACAAAACAAGCCAAAAATGACGGCAGCCCCCATTTCAAAGAGAGCTTTTGAGATTTTAAAGTGGTTGTGTTAACCTTGAATGTCTGATTAGATTTTCATAGTAGTTTGGTTTTTGTATTTTATTTGCATAATGACGGCTAATGCCTGGCTCAAACCAAAACAAACAAAAAGCCACCCATGAGGCCACAGCCACGAATATTCACAGACGTCATTAATGGCGAATTGATTTGAGTGGCCTGAGTCAGCGTCTAGTGAAAGTAAGGACTTACATCAACAGCAGCAATTTATTGAAGTCTGAGTTCCTATGTCTGATGAGAATAGCTTGCTGATGAAAGGCCGAAGTGAACTCATACTTGATTCTCGATTAGTTCGATATTACCAATACTTTTTGTAGTTGGGAAAGGTATTTCAAAATCAGTTAGTTACAATAAACATATCTGACAGTAAGTTATTGTTTGATGACTAGAATAGTGTTATTTGTGAGTTTATTAGATTTGATGATTTCTTGTAATTCAATAACATCTAAGCTACTATTTTATTTTTTAAAAACCAATTCCAAATATTTTCAATTAACCTTTTTGCAAAAACGCATATTCAGGAAGTCTTTAAAACGAACGAAATAATACGAGTGATGATATCAATTCATGCAATTTGCTTTATAATTTGTTTGTACTTTCTACAAGCTTGATTGAAAGTCGAATCGAGACCATCGAATTCAAGCCATGTCGCTGTTTTATACAGTTTTATTTCCTAGTGCAAGACTCACAGTAGGTTTTCAAACCTAATTGTATTCAATATAAAGAACGATACTTCTGAAATTCTACAAATTTGCGCGTCTAAGCATGCAGGTCTTTTCAGGTATGATTTTATATTGAATGTGGTATTACCTGTTGCATAATCTTTTGGCAGCCAGCTAAAGAATCCATTGAATGCATTTTCCCGGCCATAATGCTTCCGGCTGTCAATTGCAATGTACTTTAAAATGTATGTCAGACCAGATGGGCTGCAGACAAGCCCGAGGCTAGCCAACTGTGGGCAATTGAAAGGCACTGAAATGAAAAGTGCCGCAAATTTCGAGACCTGGCCAAGTGAAAGAGTGCTAACTGACAAAGTGGCCGAATGATGGACGAGTGCACATAGCTTGCCATGCTCGGCATAGGAGAATGCGACTCATCGCGCTCCACATGCCCGTGCACAACAACAAACAATGCCAAGTTTATTTGCGCTTGGCAAGGCGTGACAAGCTTAATTGCACGAGCAGCAGGGCCAGTTGAGCGGAGGGGGTGCGTCGCTCAATTTGAAAGATATGTGCAACATTTCCGCATAATCTCAAATCTTGCAGCCGCACAACAAACAAACAAACAAATATATGGCAAATATATAGCTGACGAGCGGCTTATGGTGGTGCGAGGGAGCGAATGATCTCAGCGTCATTGGAGGCAAGGCTTTTGTGGATTTGCAATCAAAAATGTGCAAAACTGCAGCAATTGCTCGCAATGAACGCAATTAATAGCTAATTGTGTGCAATTATTGTCGATTGACTGCCATGACGATGAGCAGCCGATCTATGTCTGATGTGCCGCCGGTGACGAAGGGCTGGGGCGATCGTTGCTTAAGCGAAAATAGGCACAATAGCTTCAATGGAGCAATGATATACAGCACGTGGCGTATACGTAATGCTCACTTCACACATTACTCATACGCACTGTGAAACATGCACCCTTTTTGACAACATCAACGATGACAACACCAACTGGCAGTCGGCGCTGTTTTGTCTGTCGCGACGATTGCATTCGAAAAAACCGCAAAATGCTCACCACACATGGCGTATGATTAACCTTCACTGCTGAACAATGAAAATTACTCATACGCCATGTTTGCTTTGGCTTTGTTTTTTTATTATTATTATAATAAATGTGCGGTGGAAAATTATTTTAAATGCAGATTTATGTGCATTCGCATTCTCCCAGCCAACTGGCACGGACATAGGCACAGACACAGGCACAGAGAGAGGCCCAGGGACAAATGCTGTAGAGCGGGCCACGAGGGTGGGCCGTCTAGCCTCCCGCCTAGCCTTTAATCAAGGCTGCAATCGCAAGGCTGCTACCGCTATTAAATGGCAGTTGCAATTGCCAGCCGCGACTCTGCGGCCAAACCACAAAGCGTTGTACAATTCTGCTATAAATTGGCACACAAACATGCACTCATAGATACGAATATGTAAATACATCCATGTTTGCACGGGCACGGTTACATGAACACATGGTTTTGGTTCTGCATCTGAATATTATGGGGTGGTGTAAATATTTATAACTAGTCGATGACTGTGACTGCCAAAGGGTTCCAAGTGTTGGGCTGTCATGTGTAGCTTGAAAAGTCGAGAACGAGGAGGTACGCAATGCATAGTTGGCGCATACATTTTGACAGCGCCTAATTATTCAAAATTTTAAAACCAATGTTATTATGAAATGAGAAAATTATATGAATCCAGCATAATGCTTAGTATGTTCCTAACAGAATGCTTTTACAATAGAATATGTTAGTAGTAAATAGATAAGACGCGGATATTTGCTTAGGAAAAGCGTACACTTTGTTGTTTGTATTCGAAAATTTCTAATTTCTAAGATTATTATTTTTGAAAATGGATACCAGAACAAATACATAGCCAGTGGGGGTTTTTACAAAATTTACAATATCTCTCGAGCAGTTCATCATCAGATTCAAAAAAAAAAAAATCCCTCAGCCAGAATTTTTTAACACATGCTCAAGACATACATTTCTACCACTCACAAATTTTGTAATTGACCATTTAGTAATTTTTCGTTTTTCACTTTATTGCTTGTATGCTTGTCCCTCCTTATTGATATGGTTAAAACAGTATGTTAAGGAAACGCATTTCATAATTGAGCACAACCTTTAATTTGTGTGCTGCAGTATTTTTTATTTAGCCGGCATATGCACTTATTTATATAAAAAACACAAGCCAGGCCGCAAGTGAATGTAGAACAGCTAATTGCACGTCCAAATGCTACGTATAAATTTTTCAAATTGAGTTTTTTTCCCAACTAATTTGTTTTATAACAGCAGGAACAACAACTAACAAAGCGAAAACAAATTATAGTGGAAAACAAAGCAGACAGCACGGCGTGTGCAGTGCCGGCTATAGAGCGAAGCGTTGACATTGGCGTACTGTCATGCTGGGAAGGGAGGGGGTGAAGCGGGAACGGGTGATGGGTGATAGGTGCGCGGTGTGTGATGAGGTGGGGCGGGGCGGGGCGGTATTGTGGGTAGTTGGCGTGTTGGCAAAAGCGCACTAAGCTTTTCACAGATAGAAATAGCAACAGCAAGTTTACAGAAGGCAAAAAGCAAATGGAGACTGCCAGCCGGTCAGCCAAACCGCCAAACAGCCAATATGGCGCGGCACACGTGTCAGTATGTGTGTGTGTGTGTGTGTGTGTGTGTGTGTGTGCAAGGGTGTATTAGTGCCTACGGGCCTTGCTTGCATTTGCTAGTCTTTTTTGACAAATGCGCGCGTGTTTTGGCCAAGCAAGCAGCAAACGATAAACGGCAAGACACCAAAGACTAGAGACCAACAACTGCATGCGGCGGTTTTTGTATTTATTTTTGAAAAAGAGTCATTCTGGCTTTGTGTGTTTGCTGTTGCTTTTAAATAAGCTTAAATTTATTTATGATTCTGCTCGTTACCGTTGTCGTTGTCGTTGCTGGTGCTGTTGTTGTTGCCATGCCTTGCCTTTTGCCGTTCGCCGTGGATGCTTTGTAACATGTTCTTCATATTTTGCTTTTATTTTTAAATATGGCAAAATTTAATTAAAAATTGTACAATTCTCAAGTGCCTGCCGCGCTTTGACTCTGAGTGGCGTGTGTGTGTGTGTGTGTGTATGTGTTTGGCAAGTGAATGTTGTTTCAAGGTTGCTGCACACACAAACACACACACAGCAACACTCACACCTTCACAGCAACTGCTGCTGCTATTGCTGCTGCCTTCTATGACTGCCCCCCCCCCCCTACCTGGCCACCCCTTCGCCTTGCCCACAGCAACCACAACAGATCGTCGACGCACTTGTGTGTGGTATTAATTTCACATCGCGCTTAGATGGCCTTGAATTT